ATTGAATCAATCTCTCAGAAGGAATGATTTCATGATTCATAGCTGCTCCAGTGATTCGTAGAAAGTCAAAACATGCCTTGATTGAAATTTTGACAAGGAAATTATCAGACTAAAAAAGCAAAGAACAGAGAATAAGGCTCAAGCTATGAATAACTACAAAGCATGTTATGAAGATAGATAGCTATAGAAGTACCAACCATGTGTACATCAACATCTCCGAAACACAGAAGTGTACATGCAGACAAAACAGATGAGGTCTCAAGGAGTCCTTCAACATATAAAGTTCCTTCAGTTAAACATTTACAGAGAATCTTGATGGAAGAAGAGGCAAAAGGCTGCCACCTTTCTTTGCCTTTGACATTAATCAGAATACCACTGCCATCGGAAGGTTTACAACACAAGGGGAGATCACTTAATATCGTTGTTTCATGGTTGCTCCAACCTCCACCAAATGATACGCTGAAACACCTCAAAGATACTTCTTGTGATTCTGTAAAGCTTTGTTTATCACATAGTGAAGCAACATGAAGAAGATCTATATGAAGAAAAAAACAAGTCAGGTTTACTGGTAATAGCAATCAAATGAGGAAAGTGTCTGGCATAACATCAATATATTTGTTGTGCAAGTGAAATTCTAGAGAAATTTCATGACAGCTGGAGCATAGTCATAATCTAGAAACATAAAACACGCATCTCGCTAAATTATGATAGAAGCCAAATACAAAAATCATTTAGTAATCTACTTTTTTGTTTCCATTAACTCTATCTTAGACAGGTAAAAATATTGTTTGACAAATCTCTTCCCGTGTTACTATTTCAGATCATCAGTCATTATTTGCATTGATGTTTTCTTGAAGCTCCCATTAACCCGATCGAAATAATCTTAATGTACATATGAATAGTTTATCCCCCAAAGGTACTACTTCAGCGATTTGCTGACTCTAGTCATACTGAAACTTTTGTTTGATTATCTACCACTAATCCACATTACAATTCATGGATCTACTGGAACTATTTGGAAACAATTTCAATGTGTACCTTCAACCACCAATAAAGTGTCCATAAAGAATTGTCGATAAGCATCTCGATCTCCGGTACGAAGTGTAGATAATAGGGCTCCAACTGTTTCAATAATCACTGCATGCCTGGAGCTGGAAAATCAGAATGGGCTGTTACTCTTAGCTACATGAAATTAATCTGAGGTAACTCTCATAAAACTTCAATTTAAACTCCTTATCTCGTCAGCATTTTGGCACATGCAAAAAGAGACAAATGGTCTCTCATCACTCTCGCAAAGAGGCTAACAGCAATTCTGCCATTCTACATGTTTCTTAGTAGCAGATAACTAAAGCTCTAATATCTAAAGGCCAGAGTAACAGATTCAAGTGAGCATTTTTTTTAATAGAGGTGATGTCTGTGTGTCTAGAGTTGGGAAAATCAGACACAGACTCACAAACTTAAGCAAGCTTGCTTTTAACAAAAATGATGTCTCCCATAATCAATTCTAACTCCCTATGTCTTCAGTTGGAATACACAAGAAAGGAAAAATGGCTCTCATTAAAGATACAAATTCCAATGACTAAAGAGGCTACGTGTTTCTTAGCAATAAATAATGTGAGTTTATCACAAGGCAAGACTATCAAACTCAAGTAAGCTCTTTCCTATCAGTTATGTCCAGACCTTTGGCATACCTCCACTAGTTCACTTGGCAACCTTCCAATACCACGAGAACGTAGTGGAAAATGCGTTCAGAGTTACAATCACTATTCAAACCTAACATCTCCAGCTACTCAAGTATGGAAATGTAATGTTTCAGAGCAACTAACCGGAAAGCAGGCTCTGCCAAAAATGGCAATATGCGTCCTATCACCGGAAGAACAGCACCAGCCTTGCCATGATAAAATACTCCAGGAAAGTTCTTAGCGGTATGTGCTATGAGCTTTAGCACTGCAAAAACCTCTCTCTCATTCGCTACAAGATATTCAAACAAAAAGGAAAAATCAAAATAAGTTACAGATAGATATAGAGTAGCAAGAGAAAATTCTAGAAGAAAAAGAAAGACCTGATGCAGATGGAACGACATATGCATTGAGAAGATTGGGAAGTACGGCACGAAATCGGACCTCCAATGCGTCGTCGTTTCGGATGTTTGGAGGTGTGGATGATGAAGCTGCTATGCGTTCTCGAAGTTCGTGAACTAAACTCGACAGATTCGCCATGGACGATTTGCTTCACTTGCTTCCCTCCTTTTTCAAACACACTTCTGCTTCTGTCTTCCCTAATTCAATCGGATTGACCCGATTCGTTTTTCCGGGTTGCCTGAGTTTGTCAGATTTGGAGGGAAACTCATATCAACCGTTTTAAACTTGTTTGCATATTCTCAAGTACTCCATCTAGGTATAAATATAAATCCAAATTTTATATTTCTATCATTCATTTGAGTTATCGTTTTGCTTATCAAGAAAATAACAAATATAATTTATAATTTCTCTTAAATATTGTGAACATTGATTTTAGAGTTTGAATGTAATAGTTATTTTTTGCGAAAGTGTATTTTAATTGGGGGCGAAAAAAATAAATTTACTTAATCAAATTACGAAAATATTTTTCTAAAAGAAAAAATTAAGATATTTGGCCGAAGAGATAAAATCTTTTTGTAAAAAAAATTAACAATTTTTCTACCGCTAAAAAAGAGCTACATGCGATAAAAAATAATAATATTTTCAAGAATATGATTTGAATTGGTTAAATCTAATCACATGTGAATATAGATAATTAGGATATTTTCTTATCCTAATTGAAGTATTCTTCTCCTTTCGAACAAATAAAAATGATTAAAGTATTCTATTTCGAAATAGTATTCGATTTATATTTATACAATTAGTTGAATTATTTATACTTGCATATTTTTATTTGGTCTAATAAATTTGCTTTTAAAATATAATTCGTTATGTCACTCATTATTTATCATTACTTGATTTTTTCAATTTAATTTTTCTTTACATTTTATTCGTGATGACAAGTACATTTATAAGTAAAAAAGTTTAAAAAATTGAAATATTCACATATTCGGAAGGATACACATTTTTTAACTCTTTTTTATATTTTATTTATGATGACAAGTAAATTTATAAGGAAAAAAGTTAATGAAATTGAAAATTTCACATATTCGGAAGGATACACATTTTGAGGGGGTTTATGTTTACTTTTTTTTCGAGATCTTAATTAGTACTCCCTCTGTCTCTATTTACTTGTCCATAATTTCTGTTTTAGATGTTTCTATTTATTTGAATATTTTGATAAATTAAGAAAGAATAATTTTTTTTCCTATTATACCCTCATTTAAACTTCTTGAAAATTTCTAAGTTTTAATTCATCCTTTTTAAGCCATATTTAATAAGGATAAAATTGTAATTTCACTATGTTAATAATTATTATCTTAATATGCCTGTTTTTTTTAAAGTGGACAACTAAATACTGACAGAAGGAGTAATATATAAATATTTATTTTTAAATACAATTCATGTTGGATCAAATTATTTTTCTAAAGTAAATTTATGGGTGATGAAAAAATCACATGAAAAAATTAAATTTATCACATATAACTTTAGCGGTAGATCAACAAAAATATTTATCTAAATCGATATTCGCTATTTTCATATTTGTAATTTGTATTGTAATATTTACGAAAACATTAACATTTAACTTCATATGATAATATTATTCTTTATATGAATAATTTTTGTTCATGTCAAATAAGATATGAGTCATGTGTTTGCAATATATAACTAAAAGAATTTTATTTTAAAAAATTGTTTACTGGAATAAAAATTTGAGCGTTTTAATTTAAAATTTTAAAATATAACATATATATATATATATATATATATATATATATATATATATATATATATATATAAAAGTAGGTAATCGTTCTTTTTTCTTCTAATGAAAATTTATAATTTATTTTGTCTAGAAATTTCAATATTGTCTTAAGAAAAATAAAATCATAAATATTAAAAAATACGGAGCCCCTAAATCAATAACTATTTTTCAATTCACTATATAAATTTGAATTACGATCCCAAAAATATTTAATATTTAATTATTTTGTTCAAAAATATACTTATCTAAAACATAAAAATTTTATTATAGTGTAATAAAAGTTAAATTTGCATAATGATGATGACAACACGGGTTTTCTCGGAGAAATTTTAGAACATTTAAAAGACAAACAGGGTGAGCACTATGACTTTGAAACTTCTTCAACTATAAACTTCGTAGCACTTTGCTAGAGTTGGAAATTTCTCTAATTGGTGAAACTATAGCACCATGGGCTACAATTTGATGAGCTTATTCCAATTCCAACACACAATCATGACTCATGAGCTTGAATATTGTTTTTGAGTTCAAAAGAGGAGTGACGAAGAAAATAATATTTTTTTTCTATTTATACTTATTTCAACCACCATATTCACTCATGGTATCTATTTTAATTTTTTTTTTATAAAATTCACAATTCTAATTTCAAACTCTAAAAAAATTTCTAAAAGTTTGATATTATTTATGGAGTTTTAACTTTTATAAGTTCATAATTCATAAATTGTAGAAACTTTTTGCACTCTAATATATAAGTTTAAATTCTATAAATCATTGGCACTTATTGTGCTCTATTATATTGTGCGTTCTACTTGTCAAAAGTCGAAATCTAGTAATGTGTTAAGGTAGTAACACATTTTATTTAGTATTATATTTACCAAATATTATTTTTGAGGCTAAATTTTAATTTTTGATGACTATCTCACCTAATTTTCTCTCTAAATATTTTAGGCGTAAAACAAACTAGTAGAGCACCACATTGCCCTTGCATTAGTTAACCAAGTAACGTATGAATAAAAACATATTTTCCCTCTTTAACTTTGGCCTAAACTAAGCCCTGCATTAAGAATCCGAGCAGTATATAAAAAAAAAAAAACTAATAAATTTTTCAAGCAGTCGAATAAACTGTGTTCAAAAAATTGAAAGCAAAATTTTTATTCGACTATTGGGGCATTGGTCAGTGAAAAAAACAATCTGTACAGTAAGAATAAATAGGCTAAAAGCATGTTTAAATTAGGTGTAACTAAAAATATCACTGCATCAATATTCTGTATTTGCATCAACTCAGTGATGCCCACGTCTAAGCGCTGAAAAGAATCCTCCAGATGCCTTCTCCTTGCAACGATCTGCTTTTTCATGTCCAACCTGATTGACATGTCAAGTGTTACCGAGATAATATACAGACAGCTAAATTATTAAAAATCTCTTAGTGTGTGCAGGGACTTTGGAAAAATTACGAAACTAAAAAAAAAACAGAAAACAGGAGTATGATAAATGAAGAAGCATGTGCGCAAATGAGGATTGTTATTGAAACAGGGACTGCCAACTCTGAAGGAGTTCAAAGAGAGTGAACTCTTTGTACGGCTACATTTATCGTCAAGGACAACAAATAATTGTTAACTGGTCAACTTCAGAGCAGAAAACACATACCTCTTTTGCTATTTGCTGCAAAATATCGACTATTGCAGAAAAGTCAGGTCTGGATGTTGGATCTTGCTGCCAGCATGTCTCGAGCAGATCAGCAAGTTTAGGAGGAGTGTGCTTGGGTATGGTTGGTCGCAAACCCTGGAAGCAGTTAGAAACTTAATGCCATACCATTTGTGCATATGCATTTCCACATGCATGTGATGAGAAAGCAATGTGCAATCAACTAATATAGTCATATGACGTCAAAGAAAATCAAATAAAAGAAACATTACCTTCTGGACCACTCCAATAGCAGCTTGCAATGGGGTTAAGTACTCATATGGAATCTGGGTAAAACAAAGCAAGTAAACATAGGTATAAACCAAGAATGCACACAACAAAACAAAGGCTAATTCAAAATTTTCCAATCACATATTAGTACCTTTCCTGTCAGCAACTCCCATAGCACAACCCCAAAACTGAATACGTCTGCTTTGTGATCATAGGGCTTGTGTTCTATTACCTTCAAGAAGAAAGATGCTGAAATAAGCCAATGCAGCTAGTCTAACCATCCAATTAGTTTTCCTATTTTGAAGAAACTCCCGAATCAGAAATATCTCACGAATATCACAAATAACGAAATTGTTTTTCCCGAGTTTCTATAACCCTTCCCATTCTCCATCTAGTTTAACTACTATTTAAGCAACTTTAGTGACTCTTACAATGACACAAATGTTATACCAAATTAAATGGAGTCCTTAACACCATGGGCTTGCCTCGAGCAGCCTTAATCCTTGATCATCGCTGCATGTACCAACTAAGCACAACCTCGTTAAGTTTCATCAACCACTACTCACACCTAGGAGGACGCTATACCTAACAAATGTTGGACTTCTTGCCTTGTAACAACCAATGAAATACCTCACACTTATACAGCCAAAACCCTAGCCACCACTATAGTCAACTTTGGAGTTTGAATTCACCAATCAACTGCGCAGAGAGTTGATAGCCAGTGCTTGTAACCACACCACTCCAGTTAAACCAAAAAAAAAACTGATAGATACTGCATAGTTTCAGCCGCCTTTAATTTCAATGATGGAAATATAACAAAACTTATGCTCCATAATAAACTGTGTTTTCTTCCCAATTTAAGCATTTAAGGTTAGTTTCTAACTATGGGCATACCTCAGGGGCCATCCATCTATAAGTACCGGTCTCTGCTGTCATGACACCGGTTTGTGCCTTTACCCTGGCAACACCAAAATCAGCCACTTTAACGACCTGAAAAAAGAAATTAGGTAAAAGATGATAAGCAACTGACTAATTTAAGTTATATTGACCTTGACTAAATTGAGTATAATTATTTTTGGGCATCCACTTATGAAATATAAAGCTGATAAAAGGGTATATTGGTTAATTCAACACTTAGACAAGCATCACCGAGTGATTCTTTCAGTTGAAAATATAACATGATCCACATATTTTCCACGAATTTCTAGCAAATTATTGATTACAAACTACTGTCATCTAATTTTAGACAAAATATTCCACCAACTGAATTCAGAATATCGCAGTGTGCATGAAGCACTAATTACTACAACAACATTTTCAATGAAATCCCACAACTGGGGTCTGTACACAGACCTTACCTCTACCTCACAGAGGTAGACAGTCAGTCTTCGAAAGATGAAGCACTAATTACAAGCCAACAAATTAAATCTATAATAGAACCATGCATGCCCAAAACACATTTAATTAAGCCTAGGTACACAGAACAAATGTTTTAACTCAAATTAAAAGGAACTTTAAGGTAAAATTAGTTGAAAACAAAAATATCAGTGAAAGGTTACAGGATAAATGAAAGATCGCAGCCTTAATTTGGCACTATTGAACTCGAATGTTATGAACTGAATTTCAAGGTGAAGCTTAATAAAAAAATTACAATGTAATAATTGAAAGTCTGGATAAACCAAAGGAAGCCATTGCATCATTAATTCATTTTGCACACCTTGTCTCCAAAATTAGACTGTCTGTAGGGAGAAGTGAAGTCCTTCTACAACTGCAGACATGGAGGTAACTGAAACTACAGTTTCAATTACAGCATGTCAGCCTTTTAGACTCAAAACTTGCTTGTATTCTCAAATGCTTTCTGGAAAAGCAATATATTTTTCATGAAAAAAATTTGAAGTAAACAGAGGTGCATCATTGATTCACCTTGAGCAGATTAACTGTAGGCTGATATTAAAAATTTTAGCAAATGTCCCAAGTTCAAGTGGACCATTATTGCTTAGTAAAAAGTGAATAAAAAAATGTAATTAGAGGTATTTAAGATATGCAGATTTCTATATCCTTAGTGATATAAGCCTCTTTCATGTTTTTGGCCCTCGAAACTAGCCAATGGTTATACATTTGCGCAAAAGAAAAAGGAAATCAATATTTGTAAGCAAATTTAGTTAGACATGATCAAATAGACTAGTACAAATTGATGAATCACTCATATACCACAGCAACTGAAAACATTTTACAATAATACAGCACACAAAGTATATGGTTTTCAGTCTTAACTGAAAAGAAAATCTTACTTCATTTTCATCCATCAGTAGATTGGCGGCCTTCAAGTCCCTATGTATAATATTATTTTGATGCAGGTAGTTCATCCCTTTGGATACATCAATCGCTACTTTAAGCACAGTAGGTAGTTTAAAACTGCCCCTTTGTTTGTGTAAATAGTCATATACACTTCCCCCAGACATGTACTCTACAACCAAAGAAATGTAAAATAAACATATAATAAGAAACTCAAATTGCAATAGATGAAGTGGTTTTGAAAACAGTAACAATTCAATTTTGAGACAATTCTGCCAGTTGAGTGGACCTGAATTTGACATTTAATACCTGTTACTATACACAAGTTGGGAGGGCTAGTACAAGCCCCTATGAACTGCACAACGTTCTTGTGACGAACTTTTCTGCAAGTACAAATATAACACAGTATCAGAGGAAAGATAACCACTTGACATGGTGAATAATCGTCTATTTGTCCTGAAAAGTATAGGATATTGGAAAGTGACAATATACCACATTGTCTGAACACAGTTTAAGCACAGAGAAATACATCAAACATAATAGCCATAAGCTTCATAGGGGGGTTACCGGACAGACCTCATGATATACACTTCTTGGGCGAACTCCGTCTGCAATTCTGTGTTCAAGCGCTCAGATTTTAGGATTTTGATAGCTACTTCTTGACTGCAGTATGTACCTTTATATCTGAAACAAATACCTAATTAATTAAGTCTCCAGGAAACCCAAATGATCAGATGAATGATTTAGCTCATAACAAACTTACAAGTCACCATATGAACCAGATGCAATCTTGTATTCAAATTTTAGTAGCTGATGATCAATTTCCCAGACATCAACGCCATCAAAAGGTATTGTCAAATGGTCAAATTCACATTTGATCATGTCTTGTTCCTGCTTTTTTAGTGATTTTGATGGGCTAGGCCATGATTTCTGCATGGAGCTACCCTTGTTAAATGATAAGTACACAAACCTTACAGACAACTGGCAAAAAAATATATTGCTCAGAAAGGAAAGCAAGGAACGACTTATGCTAGTTACTGAGGAAGTATCATCATTATGCAAACAGCAAGATGTCCGCTCTTAGTACAGCTTCTAGTATATACCCATGAGATAGGAACGATAATTAAAAAGTTATCTACAATACGATTCTATAAATAAGATTGCAAACTCATGACTGCTCCTTTCCCTGTTCAGGAATTTCATGTCAGCATCCAGAAATCGATAGGTATGGACACAAACATAAAACTGAACCTGATTGTTGATTCTGGGGACTCCAATCATGAACAAGCCACTCTTTATCTATTCCTCCATTTCTTTTAAGTAGATGTCCCATTAGATCATGAGGGTGCCTCTATAGCAAGAAATTTGGTATTCTCTCTTATTGAACCCAAATATATGAAAGTACTAAAAGCATGGAGCTTGTAGCTAGCATTTCACAATTTAACGGGGAGCAAAAAGCAATTGTGGATCTATTTACACATTATTTTATAATTGATTTGTGTAACTAAACTAGATTTTCATATATCCATATATCTTGTGTAACCAACCTTTTCTAGATGTAACTACATTGAAAACGTATTAGCAGCATACATAACTTGGGACCTAAAAACAATTGTCTCAACAAATTAAAAAAAACATAACATTAGTAAAAAAAACAACACAATGCTTTAGTCCCAAGGAGTGACACAGCAAGTTTGACCACACAAATTCTATCTAGCATGATACAACTTTTTTTAAAAGTTTTTTTAGCATGATACAACACTTGATTGCCAGGAAACAATATTTGAAAATAAAGAACCCGGGCACTAAACAGCTTTAAGAAAGTCTTAAGGTTCCAGAAGTCATTATAATTGGAGAATGATTTTATTTTCAAAGAATCATCCGTCATACATAGTTGGATTTAATTAGTGTAATGAAAAAAACACGAACAGAAATCTCAGAATATCAATGTCATCGTATAAAACAAAATAACAAGAAAGTACCTCCGTTCTCGAGATTTCCCTCTCTAATGCAGCTCGAAGTTGCACAACTTCCTGATAAGAAATGAGATCAGAAGGAATAACAGACCACCCCACCATGCCCTAAAAACCATGGAAGATGATAATGGAAACAGAAATTTAAACCATGCATACATAATCTGTCACTTCCTGATATTAGGTCACAAAACATAACAGACATGAATCCAGATCAAAGTGACCTGGTCAGTAAATGAGGATATAATGTCAGAGACATACCTCATAGGGCCAACCATCAACAACAAAGACATCTAGGGAGTAGCCGTCCACAGTGGAAAAGGCATGTGCTTCCTGGATGTTCAGCCCAAGCTCAGCTAGTAATGAAGTTAACTGTCATATTCAAAGGTTCATCATCGTCTCAGATTTCTTCTTCATGAGATATAAACTTATAAGAAACACTACTTGTTTTCTAGCAATACCAATCTTTTCTCATCACACAACCTAACAATACCAAGGACAACTTTTTATGAATCATAGTGCGCAATCAAAAATGATTATATCTGCTATACTTGTGCATCTCAGATCATGCTACATTTTGTAATCTGTATTAAGATGAGAATAGTCTGTTTCATGAAACAGATGGAACACACAAAGCCATGCCCTTACGTCCACAAATGTTAAATATCAAGCACATAATGTATTGAATAAATTAAATCAATTACCTGGCTGAGAAGTTTTGGCTTGTCAACCATTGAGAATGTTATTTCATGCATTGGCCTGCATAGTTAATTAAATTTAATGCTTCATACTCATCAAAGCGGCATGTAGAAAGAAAAGGGAAAGAAGTGGGTGATAGTCATACTTGGACATCACAGTAATGACAAGACATACATAGATTTTGGGTGAATTGGGTAGTTTTTTCAAGTAGTGTTGTAGGTGTCCTCTCTGGTTACCCTAAAATGGGTGCTATAAAGGATAAATGTAGTTGAAGAAACCAAGAAAAAGTGTAAAATCTCAAAATAAAATTATAACAATGATAATTGTAATGTCCGGACCAATTGGCATGCACCTCAACTAATTCTACTAGATACCTGCCACCTCCCACCAACTACAGGTATCATATGGAAAGAATCATCTATTGTTTCTCTCCGCTTGGATTTGAACTTGAGACCTCATGGTTCTTAACCACTTCACTGACCACTAGGCCATACCCTTGGTGCTAAAGATATCAAAAATTTTACCGTGAAATATTTGCACAAGTAGGAGCAGCATCCTCATCTTGAACTTCAGATTTGACAACTTCGCAAGCTAGGGCTTCAAGATTAGGAGAAGAACCAAAGGCAGGTGGAGGATGGATGCTACACATAAAAAGGGAGGTAATTATTTAGCATAGTTAATGACAACTAAGAATTCAAAATTATACTGAAGGAGATTTAAACAATGGAAAGGGGATTCAATTAATCACTAGTCACTAGATAGTCAAAAAAGTAAAATTACCTTCTACTAATTTGCTCCTTTGCAGAGCTCGAATAAACAGAATCTACTGAGTTTTCATCAGGAATGGGAGCAACCTGCGTGATGCCAAGTTCGATTCAATCCACAACTAGCATAAACTGGGATTAATTAGATACTGAAGAAGCAACCATAAAATAAAATACAAAAGCCCAAGATATCATGGAGATGCATTGCACTGGTGAACTACTTGAAGTGAAAGAACATTTAATACATCCTCCTTAAATCCAAAAAGGACATATTTTAGTGTTCACCATATCAAAAGCAAAAACAGCTATATACAAGGTGTTATTTGCAAGCTTGTGAAGCCTCAATCTCCACAGACTGCTTACCTGCACCAACCGGACTTCAAAGGCAGGTCTATTAGCTGGATCATGTGCAAGATGTAGTAATCGCTTGTGTGTGAGTACATCTTCTGCCCTCTCAACATTCACATCCAATGCGTACCTTAAGTTTTTAAAAAAAAATCAATTCATTGATCAATCAATTTTGGCTGTGGCACTAGTATCGCAACATTGTTGCCTGAAAGCGAACAGTACTGAACTGATTATCGAATTCATTTGGTTCAACGAAATGTTAAGCGAAACAATGAGTGATATTTTTCAACTTGTAAAACTTGATGATTAAATATGATAAGAAGATAGGAACTAATGAACAAAACTCCTAAAAGCACAACAAAACAAATGGGAATGGACAACTGCACTCAATTATGTTCAAACATACCTTGAAGATCATAGGTAAAAATAGTATCGTCTATATAAAAAAAACAATATAATAATGTAATGAGGAGTGAGAGAATAAAGAGGTAAAGTTATACTACCGAGTAGGAAGGCGATTGAAATGAGCCCAAAGTTCATCGTCAAAAGCAGATTGTAAAGTGTCGTTATTGTCGGATTCTTCTTTAAGCCTCCGAAGCACCTCATTGTAAACCTCCAATTTTTTCCTATGAAAACGACCACTGGTAGTGGCCGAATCCACCACTCTACTGCCACAACTCTCGTTATCCTTTATTGCCATTTGAGTCACGGTGCAGTTTACGTAAAGTGAATGAGATGAAAAATTTCAAAATTGTATATGCATGTTTGTTGGAGTGGTTTATTTCATTCCGTTGGCGTTTTGAATCCAATGAATGTAGGTGAGCTGACCCGGAGGCGGAGAGGGGTTTCGTCTTTTCTTGAAAAGATAGATGTAATGTAACCACGGCGCATGTACAGTCAACTTGACGTGGATTTGCTTTATCTTCGCCTTTTATATAATCTTCCTTAAGAAATATTCACAATAGAAACTCTATTTAACTCAGTCATGATTAAACCCACCCACAACAAGTGGTACTACTAAAGAGTAATAATAAATAATACTTTTAATTTATTAAACTAAATCTTTGAAAATAAAAATAATATAGAATTAGTAAATATTTTTACTAATAAATATAGCAACATATTAAAAGTGTGGGTGGGAGGGAGGGGTTAGAAAATAAAACGGAACAGATTACGCATATTCCCCGAATATTAGTTGGCGTTTTAAGTTATTTCTGTATTTTTTTTAGGATGTTTTAAACTCTTCTTTTACTGAATTGGTAAATCGATCAAATCGTCTTTTTATGAAATAGAAATAAAATCTACGATATTTTAAATGAATTATAATTATGTTATTGTTAATGCGTATTAACTGGGCTATTAAGCCAAAGCTCACCGCAATACTAGCCAATCCGCGTTCCACAAACGGGATCCACCATTGCTAATAACATCAATGTATAATAATCTTTTGAGACAAACAGTACATAATTAAGTAGGTACACTTCATCTAAAAGAGTACAACTAATTTACACGATAATTATGGTTTGTATGGATAATAATACTTGATACAAAGCTTGTCTGTACAATCAAAGAATAAATGAATCTTATATTAAAAAGGTTGTTTATGAATATATTGAAATAACTATATTAATTGAAAGAACTATATCTACTCTTAAAAAATTATTTCATTTCATTAAATAAAATAATTTGATAAATCTTTTTGAAGAGGGAGCTAATCATTTTGATAATATACCAGAGCAGTTTCAGTAATACATGAATTATTATATTTAGTACTACGCTCATCAGGAAAATGTTACCTATTAATAATTGTTTTAAGTCTTTTATTAGAGTATTTTTTACAAGACTTTATAACTTTTTGCTCGTGAACTTTTGGGTTGAAAACGAGTTTGCCTTATTCTTCCGTTCATAGCAAATTAAAGACATGAAATGTAGATATGAGAAAGCGAGAAATCCTAAATGATCATTTGCAAATTGTTGTTCTACTTTGAAAGTTTATTGTTCAATAATTTCTATCGAGACATCAAATCATGAACATATATAACTCGTGCAAATAAATATATTGAGTCATTATATTGTTTAATTTTATTAAATATCGCAATTGTATAATTCATATTATATTTATATTTTTAATACAAGACAAGCTAACTTGAGATTGAAGCGTAATAATTATTAAAGCTGAGCAATTAATTTAAATTTGAAGTGCATTTTTTCATAATAAGCCTTTAGATCTAATTTTGAATTGAACTTGAAATGGAGACGTACAAAAACCTTTTTTTAATGACGAGATTAATTTTTTTAAAAAATAAATAATAAATGAATTGACTTTCAAAAACAAAGTGATTGTACTCAATATTTCATTGTTGACTTTTGGCTCAAGGAGAATGGTGCTCTATTAATAATTTTGTTTATGGAATTAATGTTAGGGATATAAGATTTTCCTGCTTGAGGGATTACATTTGATATCCATGCATGCACCTACCTTAATTATTGTTATTTTATTTATTTGTTGATTAATTTGGTTCTCCACCATATACACGTTATCATTATCTTTTTGACGATCAAATTAGGCAAAATTCCTATTTCAGATACTCCATTGTGATTTGTTAAAAGTGTAAGATCCTCCATTAACGAGTCAAATGCCTTTTTTTTAATCAATCTACCTTTTGAACTTCTTTAACATATTTAATTTGAAAAATCAAGTGCAAAGTTACTAGAGATACAAAGAAAAAAAAAAGGAAGTAGTGTCTCGATCGATATGTATTCAACTTGCAATTTTTGTTTTGTATAAAATATAAAGGAGCCGTGATATGTGTGGTCTTTAATCTTAATTAATCATATCATTATAGAAATATATATTGTAATTAGAATAATTCAGAATCCGTCCATGGCATTAAAGTGACCGACCTGATTGCTCTAATTCTAGATGCGCATAAACAAATAGTATAAACCCTGGTTATAGATTAACCAAATGAAAAATTCAATATAATATTACTACAAAGTACCAATTCATTGATTAGTTTAACTTATCGGTGTGTCATAAATATATTTAATTAAATAAATATAAGAGCGTGAAAAATTAATAAAATTTTGACTTTTTTCCTACTTAGTTTAGTTAAACGGGTGTAATTTAATCATATATATTTGAAATACTCGTCGTTACCTTCTATGATGATTGAAATTTATTATCGTAAACACAATGTATTTACCAAAGAATAAACAAATTACTATGAATGCCATTCTCATGTATAAATAAGATCAGATGAAGTTGATGAACTGGACTTTTTCTTTTTCATTTTTCGAATAAAACCGAAGAAATATAACTCAATTTATTTAATTGTATTCTCAATATATTCCTCATGTGCGAGCTTAATTATTTTTTTTATGAGTGAAGTATATAAAAATTCTTTTTATTTCGATCTCAAAACATATGTCTGTTATAGTATCATGTTCAAGTGTGTGATCATTTCATCTAAAATCTTAACCGGTCAGAAGAAGCGCACGCTTATTATTATTTAATTGTAGGTGACCTTTGGGATTAAGGAAAGGTCATTTTATTTTTTTGTTATATAAGCGGAGACCTGCAGCCGGGGCCGGGCGGAATAGCGGCTTCCCCAAGTAATGCTTCAAATCGAATCTTATCCAACTTGATCAATCAATAATTTTATATATCCATATGCTTACGTGGAATAGAGTCACATATTCATTCATCCCTCCTCTTTTGATTTCATTAAAACTAGACTTGATTGTTTTTCCAACGTGCTATCAATTAGCTGGCTGCTTCCACAAACACGACCCCACATTTAATTGTAATAATGCAATTTACTCCATGTTCCGATTTAAAAGAACCCAATTTGAATTTCAAAAAATTACATTTAAAAATTTTATAGAGTAATTATTTTTATTTTATTTTTTTAAAAAAGTAAAAATTAATATTTATACTATTTTTTTTTAAACCGTGTGACAATTAATATTTGAACGAATATGATTTGAAACTTGATACTTTAGAATTCTCAATTCACTTCATCGATCGATTACTAGCTATGCCATCCCTGGTTTTGGTACTTTAATTTTAAGGCTTAATATATCAATAAACTTTTAATACTTGTCAATATATTTACTTTTATACTCAAAATATTTTTTATTTCGATTGATCACATGGTGAAGTATTATTCATGCTATAATACTTTCAATTCAAGATTTTAATTTTTTTTTGGAATAAGTTAACCATACGTTTCCTCTCTTTTAACTATACAAATTAACACAACAAACTTGAAGCTCTTTTACTTGATGTGTGTATGATGAAAGAATTAAGAATGACACATTTTATGTGATAAATTTACCTATTTAATAATACGTGTACAATAAACTTGAAGTAAATATATTATATAAAAATACTTTATCACGTGTTTAAGTACTGAAATTATTATAAATTTTCAATGTGTATGTTTGAGCTGTAATAATACAAATGTTTGAGCTGTAATAAAACAAATAGAAGCAAGGACCACATTATATATATATATCCACATTTTGATGTCATGTTTCTTTGTGGGCAAGTCATTTATTGTCCACACAATGCTTTCACCAGATTATTGGAAACTCACAACCAATAAATTAAATTTTAGTTTCGTATGCTTTTGATAAGATTATGATAAAGAAAATTTTTCCAGTAATTTATTGCAAGGGTCACATGTCTCTTGCGCTTATAAATGGTCCCTCTAAATTCAATTGTTTTGAATATTGATTTTGCGTATATATATATATACATACAATCAACGAAATAAACCAAAGTCATAATGTGATCATCAAATTTTGGATAGCTACCTTGGATATTTTTATCTAATCTTTCAAATCTCAAAAATATATTAAAAAAATTAAAGAACCATATATATATATATATATATATATATTCTTTTTTTAAAAAAGCATACACGTTTGGAGCAAGCTTGTTCTCTTTAATTTACCTTTTCTTGTCGCACATATGGAAGATTATATCAATATTAAAAAGAAGAAAGGAAATTACATAATTAGACGTTGAAATAAAAAAGTTTTAGCAATTATTAGTACTTTATTTTTAAACCAAAAACATATTTTCCTTCTATTCTTTTGATAAAAGGATTAATAAGTTACAATTTCACTGTAGTGACCCTGCCTTCGTCATTTCCTCCCTGCAGCTAAGGTAACAATTTCGAATATATATATATATATATATATATAAATAAATAAATAAACCCGAAAACTTATTAATTATTTTTTATTGTGCTTTTTTTCTATTTCAACCGATTAAAGCCAAGGTAACAATTTGTAGTTGATCATTTATTTCCATTGGGTGTACAATTATGTCATGGTTCGACACCTGAACATAACAAGAAGGATGTAGATCGTGTATACATTACGTTCATTGAATCTAGACCAGTTTCTTAAGTTCATTGAATGTAGACATTATTACTACAACTATCATTTGATTTACAATTATTCACATTATTATTAACTTAATCAACCAATTAACTACTACTACTGCTTGTAGTCGACAAAGGAATCCAAAATCCTGCTTATAAATCCAAATCTTATATTTTTTTTGGTTCACAAACTTTAGATTCACCAATTCCGCGACTTGTAAAAGAGTCTAAAAGCTACTTAATTTTTTTATTTAAGGATAAGAGAAACGAAAAGAACATTATAAGTTTGAATAGTCATCCATTAAGATTCTCAAAAAAAATAAAATATCAAATCAGTTGTTCAAAATGGAAGTAAACGGTTTATTTTGTTTATTTATTTTGCAATATTCGTATGACAAATACTGAGATACCACGTAGAGTTAACGAACAGTGTCTAATATTTGTCTTTTTTTCTGAATCTGGACATCTAGCTATTTCTTTGGTAGGATAATATAGGAAAATGGAATTCAAAGCAATTATGGTTTAGAATAATATGAGATATCTGCCCTTTTTTTTTTAGATTATCTGAAATGACAAATGCCCTGCACAAATTAAATAATACATTAAATTAGAGTTGGTATAATCTTGAGAGGTCAATGTACTTGTTGTCGAACGATAACTGGTTGAGCTTTGAGCTTCAACGTTGTACAATGTACCATTTCAAATCGGAGTCTCCCATGTTTGGTATAAAATCAAATATTTTCGTAATTTTTTTTTTTTGACAAACATATGTAGATTTTTCCTTATTTTATTTTTGTGTTAATGTAAGTAAAAAAATGTATCCTAAAAGTATTTATATATAGCCTAGACAAATATTAGGAGATGCGGGGATAGGGTGTACGGAGTGGTGAATATGAAGAGGATATCATTTGTAGAGTTTGTTTTTTCTACTTCTATTAGGAAAGTCATCCTCACTTTTTTTAAGTAACTTGTTTTTCTAGAAGAAATATTTCTAATCATCGAACATGAAAAAATTAAACTACATTTTTTCTCTATACCGAACACACCATTTCTATTTAGCAGTTAAAATTTTAGAAAGAATCGAAATTATTGTATCTGGTGGTGTACTATTTATTTAACGAAGGTCGCTATAAAGCTATTGGAAAGCTAAGAAATAAGGAATTGGAGTAGATGTAGAAACAAAAAAGGAATAACATACAACTGTATTTACGATATATCTGTTAAAACATTGTAAAAAAGTTTTTGGCATTGTCGTTGCCATTTAATTAATTGTAAACAATTAGCACATGCTCAAAGTGTTTACACCCACCTATGCAAATTTATAATTCAGTGCTGTGTACATATTAATTAACCATGATTAAGTAGTAAGAATTTCTATACAAACACATAATTGGCGGGTAAGTTTTTATTGATTATTTCACATTGTCATATCATCTTGAAAAGTTATGTTATTTTGGGCAGACTTTACGTTATATTTTAAAAATTCTATACTTTGTCCACACACACAAAATTTAACTTAATTTACCCAACAAAAAAAGACCAAAAACACCCCTAACCTATTGGGAATTTGGCTTAAAAATACACTTCTTCCACTTACTGAACCCTCAAAACTTTTTATTACTGTATATTTTTGGGCTAAAAAATGCCACCACTTAGGATGCCCATGCAATAATCAAATATTCCCAAGTAACTGGCACTTGCCATGTGATAGGGTTAGGAAACATGCCCGAGGTCAAGGTTCCACTGTTTTTCCAGTGTCATAACAGGATATCCTGCCAACCATGTTATCATCAAAATGCCATCCAATTTGTATGGATAGGAACCAAAGCAAGCAACAAAAACACGAATAAACAGAAAAAAAGATATGGCCAAATTGTGAAACAAAACAAGATATATGTACTTGTGGACAATTTCACATTCTCACCTTGCAGTAGATGATGCTCAGCATCATATGTATGCAAAGTGCTTCAGCTAAATCCCACATCAAAGCTTTTATTTGAACAATTGAACCAACCATTCGAACTGATATACACCAACAAACACATTCAGCTTGTAAAACTGATTGTTACAAGGGTAGCCCAAGCCATATACATAACAGGCAAATTATGGCAACCTATAAAACACTCAGGAATCACGATTTGCCATACAATATTACAACAGTAAAGCTAAGTAGGGATGAAAATCATAACAATTTATACAAAACTAGAACACAGTTAGATTTACAACACATTTATATAAATAAGTTGCCATCTTACAGTCATTCACTCTGCGTTGTTTTCTGCTTCTTGAATGTCTTCATCATCTCCCTCATTTTCTCCTTCAAGCCATTGTTCCAACTCATCAACTTCATCATAGTCATGCATATAGAGATCATCTGAATTATCCCATTGGCCAGTCATTCCCAGCTCCTCCCCATGAAAAGCTATATGCAGAAACGGTCTATTCCTGGATAAAGTGTCCAGCACATCCCTGCTGACACTACTAGATACTCCTAACCATCTCAATCTAGGGAAATAAGGTTTCTTTAACCATTGGAATGAAAGCTGAGTTATACCTCCACAATTATAAAGATCCAACAGCCGTAAACTGCTCCCATACCATCCTTCTTCATCAACCTTCATTGATGCTAACACCATAATTGAAGTATCACTTATCAACGGACATTGACGCATTCTAAGCTCAAGTAGTGGAATACGTCTTTTTGCAAGCAAAAGTATACCAGCATCAGACAGGTTTGGAATGTTTGACAAGTCCAATTCTCTCAATTCACAATTAGAAGATTCATCAAAGAGAAAGGAAATACAATTGTCAGTTAGTCTCTTGCACCCTCGTATGGACAATGATACCAGTGAACGCATTGCTCCTTTTGATAAATGGGACAATCCCATATCACTAATATCAGAACCATCTATCAGTAAAGCCTTCAATTCAGAAAGGTTGCTTATGGTTTGAAGGGCTTCATCTCCAATATTCCTACAGTCCCTCAAGTCAAGAACACTAAGATTTCCATTGGAAACCAATCGTGCAACGCCATGGTTTGTTAATAGATTACACCACCTTAAACTGACATGTGTCAAAGTAAGTGAAGTTGCAGCAATGTCATGAAATACAAGATCAGTCAAGTGGGGTCCATGATAGATCCTCAGCTTGAAAATTTTCGAACATGAATGCAAAATTGTTCTAAAACCTGTGTCTGTAACCTGACAAAACCCACCAAGACAAATACTTTCCATGTCAGAGCATCTATCAGCCATAAGAAGAATACCGAGATCATTAACTCGCTTGAAGTAAGCTGGGAAAATCTCTTGACTTCTCACCAACGACAAATGTTTCAATCTCCCGTGCAGATTAATTTGTTGTATACCTGCATTGGTAAGATCAAATGCCAACCTTGGTTCCATAATAGGCGAGTCTCGAAGGTCCAAATGTGTCAAACAGTTGATATTGTTAGTTATTGTGCTGATCATGGTGTCTGTAATATAATCCACTGAAAGGCATAACTTCTGTACTCCTGGTAATATGGATGGCCGAATATGCTCAATTGACTGATAAGGTAGCACAGGCGGGCTAAGCAATTCTGTCACCATTACCGAAGAAATGTAGCCCATTTCAAGAGATACCAGTGTCGCAGGGGCTATAGACCAAACACGAGCAAAATTGTGCCGCAAAAACATTGAGACATCAAACATCAGGATCAGTGTCTACAAAGCAAAAGAAGACAGTTAGCACAAACTGAATCATTAGAAGCATAACAGGAACTGCAATAACCTCCGACCTCCTAATTCTTCCATCCTAATTGCAAGAAGAGGTGGGTGGTAATCAAAGACCAGTTGATGAAAATAAAGGATGGTTCAGGGAACTTTTGCCATATGCTTTCTGTGTGAGTACTTTCAAGTATCAGTTTTTTATTTGTTGTTTGAACTTGTAAATTTGCTGAAAGCTATTTAGAAACAGAAAGAATGCATGCACCACTCCCACTCAAATCTCTACAAATAAGCCAATGTTCAAAACTGCACGACTTCCATATAAACCAAAAATCAGAACACATATTTTGATTAGTTAACAGGGAAATAGATCCGAAACAAGAAGTGTTGTGATGAAGGAAATAAGGAGCATAGCGGATCAACTTACAACATAGAGATTTCGATGGTGATGGTAGGCTGGAGTTCCAAAGAGAAAGGGACCGAATCATTGATAAAATAATTGGCAACGAAATGGATATGGAGTTGCTCTTCAGTTTCGGAGAATATGTGGTTAAACAGATTTATGAAGGGATCTCATTATATCAAAGCGTAAGCCCGAGATTCATCAAAATCAGTGGTAATCCTAGAAAACAACCTAGGTAACATTTCCAATATGAATCATTTTGAAGCTTATGTTATCTAAAAGGTCTAGCAAAATTATCAATCACAAAGCTGCCAATAAGTTCACCATTTTCTGTTTATGGAGGAACAGAAAACAAAAGAGCCATGCTACTCTATATAAACTTACCAATTTATGTGTACCACCCGCAAGGTTTTGGCAAGTGGGAGAGTTAAAATTCCAAAAACTAAAATAATGTAACTGCAATTAATTTGTGGTGCCTAAGAAGACAAAGCTAGTATCTGCGCCAGTTTGTACGCGCCTTGAGCCCTCGACTAATTCCACAGGGTATGTGCTAACCCCCACAGAGGTGCGGAGCAATTCTGTTCAGCAAGGCTGGCTAGACTGAGACAGATTGGAAGAAATCACCTAGCATTTTTTCCATCGCTGTGATTTGAACTTGAAATCTCATGATTCCCAACCTACTTCATTAACCACCAGGCCACACCATTGGGTGAAAAAAAATGTAGTTATGTGAGTTGTGAGATACTTATTTCCCTAAATACAGTGGAACAGCGGGTGATGAAAGAGGCCAGTGGAACAAAAGAATAACTCCTCCTTTCCAATGTATACATAGTTGAGGTACAGAGTTATTTTGCAAAGGTTAAAAATGAGCAGTCTTCACAAAGTCCCACAATATCTACCACTTATTATTTTTTATCAGGATCTACTACTCTTTATTTTTTATCAGGATCTACCATTCTATATTAAAAAGCAAATCTATAATTGATAATTTTTTTGTTCCATTTTAGCAGTGCTGAGAAAGGCGATCGCCTCGTCGCCAATGGCAAGAGGCGAGGCGAAGCGACCCTTCATCGCCTTTTAGCTTTGCGGTGAGGCGACTCTTCAAAAGGAGACGCCATGACGACAAAAGGCTAGAGGCAAGAAAGGCTAGAAAGGCGTCACCTTTTGTATTTTCTTTAAAAAAAAGGCGACCAATTTAGGGTTTTAAAAATTAAAAGGTAATTTTAGGATTTTCGACTAACTCCTCTGGCAACTAGACAGGCTTTTCCGGTGACTCCCGTCTAACCAATACATATTCTTCTTTTCTTCTTCAGACTTGAGTCATTTCTACCTTTGTTTTGACTTTTGTTCTTTTTTTTCTCATTCAAGTTCTAGACTTTCAGTATATACTATCTATTTTTAGTTTTTGAATTGAAAAAATTGCTAAATTGTTTGATTATTTACATATGCAATTAAATATTTTAATTTTTTGGTATTAAATGGTGCCGCATCAAAAGGCGAGCACGTCGCGCGAGGCAGAGCCTTGCCGCCTTTTATCGCCTTTCGCCATCCAAAACACTACATTTTAGTGACACTTCTGTTTTTGTCAAATTCTTGATGATGAAACCAAGCATACAAATATCAAACTTAAGCATGGTTGGATGTTAAATAAGGTATTGAACATAGTTGAGAATAATATCAAACTATGTAAGAGATGTAACACACTATGAATTTATCTATCAAATAAGATCATAAAAACTTCTTCATATGCCAACTTTTCACCAACCTCCAGTACTTGGGGTGGAATCACACGTGAAGGGTTGTGTGCACATACTGTGAGAGGAAGACGATGAAGCAGACATGCAATAGGAACAATGTAGATCTAACTCCACCAACTTGAAATAGGAACAATGTTTTGCGAAGCGAGAAGCTGAAAAAAGCGACGAGGGCTTGCTTCACAGAATCGAGAAGCGTGAGCGAAGCGCGCGCTTTTTTTAAAAAAAAAGCGACATTTAGTAAAAAAATAAAAAAATATTAAATAACTAAATATAGTCTTAGATTAAAAGAAAATAGATAGTCAATAATACACATAAGTCATAACATATAAAGCAAACAATCAAAAACATAATTAAATCACAAAGATTCAAACTCCTATTCTTCAACAAGATCCTCAAACTCTTCAAGTGCCATAACCAAGGGTTCTACTTGGTCATCATCTTCTTCATCATCAGAAGTGTCAAAAAATAAGAAGAGTTGCTAGCATACACACTGATCAGAAAATACAAAACGAAAAAAAAAAAAAAAAGAATTGAAAAAAGCAGAGGAGGCAGTCAGTAATTGTGAACAGAAACAGAGCAGATCGCAGCAGAGATGAAGAGAAGAAGAGAAGAAGAAGAAAAAACTACAGCAGTCGCATCGTGAAGAGACAAGAAACTCACAGAGATGAAGCAAAGGCGAAGATTGTATATTTCAGGAGAAAAGAAACTCACATATATGAACTAATAAACATCGGCTAAAACTAACCTGCAGTCGCGGTCGAGGTGTGAAGAGAGACGCAGTCTCAATCGCAGTCATGAATTGAGAAGAAGCGAAAGAAGTGTCTTGAAAGAAAAATTAAGTTATATTGTATATTTCAGATTTTCTTGTTAAAAAAAAACCTAATATTTTTTTTAAAAAACCCTAATTGTCGCTTTTTTATAAAAAGCGCGCTTTATTGTGCTTTTGCCTTAGTGTCGCTTCTCGCTTCTTTATCTAGAAGCGAGCGCCTTTTTCAAATCGCATCGCCTCAGGAGAAAGAAGCGCACTAGTGTTGCCTCGCTTTGAAGCGCGCTTTGCGCTTTTCACAACACTAAATAGGAATCAGAGTCAGTCAGACATACAATATTTAAAACTCTTTGATTTTGACATTTTCTATTCTATGACGCTCCATGTGCAAATGTTTAGTCAAAGATGTGGACCACTTTCTCCTACATTGTCAAGTGGAACTAGTTTACACTGCGATTTTGAGATGCTTCGAGCTGCAATGGATTATGTCAGGAACAAGGAAGGAGGCACTCTCCAGTTGGGCATTTAGAAGAAGGAAGGCCTGAGCATATGGGTGATGTTAAGAGTCTTACAATGGTTGAACAATTGGTTGCAAGTATGGTTACCTGGTCTACCACAATCCTCACCTCATGAGCTAACTTTTGGATTGAGTTAGGCTCGTGATTCATTTTCTTTGCACTTCCTTTCCTTTTTTAAAGTCCATGCTCAATTAAACATTGTCAATATAATGAAGAATGTAGTCCAAATGTATTCATAAATAAAAAGTGTAGAGGACTAGCATTGTCACGTGATAATTTATTTGCTTAATTTGATATCCTATTTTCTCCAAATTACAAGCATACACATTGTCTGATTGTCATCTGAGCAAATTTGGCAATAAGCCAATAACTTCATTTAATAAATCTAGGGGAGCGACCTAGCTGTTAAAAATTGCTAGACCCATCTACTAAATTATTAAAAAAATTATGATCTACTCCCACTATCCCTCGAGAAAAAAGTTAAGCAGAAGTACGAAATGCTTCAGTCTTTCTTAAAACCTAAAGAAAGAAAGAAAAAACAAAAGAAATCTCAAAATTTCAATAGTGAATCGTTGGACTGATTCCCCACCCCCCTAACCTTTTCTGATCTAGCAAATTACTATTATGAAATTGGATAAGGTATGTTCACCATTGGTTACTATTAGGCATTAGCACAAACTATGTCAAGTGAGAGAACTACAACAGAGAAACTCATCCAGAATCCACCCTAGCATAAAGGCTGTGATAGAAACCGTGGAAGGGAAGAACCTTGGCAAAAACGGAATATTTTCTTTAGGACGTTACACCATCGATATTTCCCATCGAAGTTAAGAGTTACAGTAGTACCACTTCAAATGCTATGCTTGGGTTCAATTTTTTTCATTTGCTTGATAGGCTGTTCAAACAATATCTTAGCTATAATGTTTTTCAATTAAAAAAGAATGCTGATTAACCCATTTATTAATATCGTGAGGTAATTGCTCAGCCTATTTATCATCCTAATAACTTAAAATCTTTATTATGCCACACTTTCAAGAAGCCTTACTTCCAGCTGAGTGCATCCGCCAAATAAGACCTCTAGATCAGATACATCGATTGATCTGCCTCTCTTCTCCGCCAAAGAGCTCAAATAAAGAAACCTGAGGAGCAAAATTGAAGATAACAAACAAGCTAATGACCAACTGAACAAATCATCAAATGAGTTTTCAGTTTTTCTTTCTTTTATTCTCATTATTCATTATATAAGCTCAAAGTAGACTCCATTTTATTTCACAATAAAGAGAAACCAAGAAAAACTCATACATGGATTTAGGAAGAGAAAATAAAAAAGCTAACCTGAGGTCTTTACAGTAGTGGCCGACCTGAGAGAGAAGTCTTCCACTGAAATCAGCGCAGTTATGAAGGCAAAGCTCTTGTAAATTCGGCTGAAGAAGACAATCAAGGGATGAATCATCAAGTCGCATGCAATCTACCTTCAAGCTACGAAGGTAAGGATTGGGAGGTAGCAACGGCCTTATATATTCAGCAGGTGGAGCAACATCCTTATAAGGAAACACAAAGTAAGAGAACCAGAATTGATGCTAAGTCATGTACAAGAACATTAGAAATGAAATAGACTTACAAGGAGATGAAAACTAGAAATGAAGCAAAGCATGTGTGAGGCACATGAATGAAAGGCCTTGCAAGTGCATGCCAGGGAACGAATGGAAGCTATGTCCAGCTTTGTCATCACAGTGGCCAATAGTGCTGATGGAAGAAGGTCCAGGCTCATGGGCTTGTGTGCGCCAGAATCTGAAGAAGACTTGGCCATTTTTCCTCTTTGCCAAACAGAACTCCGACAAGGCAACAAATTGAGTTAATGTGCAGATGAGATGTAAGTTGTGGGTAAGGGGTCGAAACAGGAAAATGTCAATTGCTCTAATCACTTAGTTGTTAGCAATGGAAAGAGGATATCAGATACTCTTTCTCCGGACAAACAAAAGCAACATTATTTGTTTCATTTGCTAGACGAAAATGCATAAAATCTACATAGAAATAATTATATATATTGTAACCTCTGCTTCTATCAAATTTCAAAAGTAGAAGAGTCCATTTCTCACCAAAATAACTTTACCTTTTCTGATAAATAGAAAATCATCCTGAACAAACATACTCACCTGATATTCAAAAAGTCAACCAACAGGATTATCTTAGTTCGATGATTCTACAACTGTTAACATGCAGATTCTAATTCTAAATTTTCAACAAGATCCACTGAACCCTAATCTCTAATACACACAAAAGACCATCGCAAGTTAAGAATTAGAAGTTATTCAGTTGGAAATACACCTAGGATTTACAATCTGGTGGGAGATAGAAAGCACGAAAGAGGCAGAGAAGCAAAAAATATAAAATTCACCGGAAAAGATAGATTAGATAGAGAAAATTGGCACCGAATTGTATGGGTGCGTGTTGGGGCGTGGAGTTCGAGGCGCCGGTGGAGTCGGAGATGAGTGAGGCAATTGATGCAAATGGAACTTGCCACAAGTGACAACCTTAACTTGTAAAATTTTGCACAATTTTTAACTTAAAATTAATGCTATTTCGGATCTAATTTTATTAAGGAAAAATCATTTTGGCCGTCTTTTTGAATATTTTCACTTTTCATTTTAATATATTTTAATTTAAAAAACGAATAATAATAATAATTTATTTTAAAATAAAAATAATATTAAAGATTTTTTAAATTATTGACCAAATTTTCTGGTTATTTAACATTATCCTTTAATTAATATTACAAACTCTTTATTAATTTTTAAATTTGACTATTTATATATTTTTAATCTTAGAATAATACATTGATATCTTGAATTGTCAATATGTGAAAATAATTATTTTAATATACATTATAATTAAATAGAAAAGTACATATGGCATTTCATTTTATATTTCAATTAAATTACATTCTTTATTCACTAAATTAAATAAAGGTGTGAAGCACGATGCACTTACTAGTTATTCTAATCACTTGAATGAGTTTTATTTGTTGAACCATTCATAGTATAATAGATAATTTTTGTAGCGAATAATATAAGCTAATAACTCATAAATTACAATAAGTGATATTTTAACTAAAACATTAAATCGCTAGGTGCAATAATTTGCTTATTTGCAATAAATTTTAAACATATGAAAAATAAATAAATTACACAAATAAAATTTGAAGAAATATAATTTTATTGATCTAGATAGATTGCGAGTACAAATTTATTTCTCCCTTGATTCTACTCTCTAAAATTTAATAATTATACGATGTTATTTATTGTCCAATCAATTACATATAAATAACTATTAATCAATATCAAAGACAAAATATACTATTAAATTGGGAGAGGGTAGTTTTATAAGGTATTGAATAAATTTTGCAAATACTCAATATCCTTGGTAACTGAAAGAATAAATGCATGTTTAAGGTTTACCTATACATTTTTATTTTGTTTCATTAGTAAATGACGTATAAGATCCTTATTGTACTCTTTTTTTTTTTTTTTTTTTTTACATATTTGTTAAGTGTTTTGATTAAATCTCAAATATCAAATAGTTAAAGAAAAGGAAAATGATTTCAAATAATTACATTGACAAGCAGTAGAATAGATACTATAACATACTTAATATTATAATCTCACATTTAATACTGATTTATTATTTTTATTTTATTGAATACAAGCATAACATAATGATAGCCGCTTTGCTATGGATAGTCTTGGGACGTTTTTTAATTTTTCTTAAAAGAAATAGAAGAGCAAGTCAAGGATAAGCCAGAATAAGAGGTTCAATAGCAGAAGTTTGCAGAATAGAGTGGCTACTGAATCCAGCTGCACTCAGAATATGATCCCATTCTTTTGCACTTCTCTCTTTCCCATTAGTTGTGTGAGCCATCATTATCATATCTAACATCAGACCAACATCCTTTAGGTTTTTTCCTTTGCCTATTTTTTCATCAATAACTGCCTCCACAATGATCACTTTTCCTGTGTCTTTTGGAATTGCCTCTATGCACTTTTTCAAGATTTGAATGCATTCATCATCACCCCAATCATGTAAAACCGACTAATATTCACCAAGAAAAAAATATAAGTTAGCTAGTAGTAATTTTATCAGCTTATAATTAAGATAAATAATCAACGTACCATGAGGAAAACAGCATGAGCTTTGGGAACAGAATGAAACATATCGCCTTCAACATGTACAACACCATGACAAGGAGGAGCAACAGACACAACATGAGGGAGATCAAAGTTGATCCCGTTTATCCATGGAAATGCCTTCACCAACATACCAACAGTTGTTCCGTTACCTCCACCAACATCCACCAATGATTCTATCCCTTTGAATATCTCCGCACAATTATTGATAATCGCATGCATTGTCACCCTCGCATGACATGCCAGTGCGTCGTTGATCAGTTTGCTATGCTCCGGATTGATTTTTGCATACTCCCACAAGTCCTTTCCGTGAGCCGCACAGAATGCTCCACCATTTTCTGTTTCAGATACAATATATATATATATATAGTTAAATCAAATTAAAAATCGTGATCACACAATGTACGTACCCTTTGACAAAACGCGGGCACTGAGATAGTGCCATGGGGCAAGCATAACTGGGCTACTTTCAAGTAAGACAAGTGCAGCCATGCTATTTTCTCCATCTCTTTTAAGCAGACGAGAAACAGGTGTTTGTACATAACCCATTTCGCCATTTCCAGTAATTGACACCAATTTGAATATTCCCCTGTTTATCAAGAACCTGAGGATCCGATGCAGGGAAGAAGCAGAGCAGCCTAGTGCAGAGGACAATTGGCTTAAGGGAACAGGTTCTTGATGGTTTTCCAAGAAATCAGAAATCCCCAATTCAATAGCACATTTGGCGACAGCCATTTCAGCGAAACCAGATATGCATCTCCATATATCCGCTTGAACTTCTTCCTCTCCGGATCCTATATGGTTTAATCCATTTATTTCTTTCGCCATATTGTAAAAGATTTTGGTGTAACATAAATAAGTGATTTTAGCTATTTATAGAATTACAACTTCAAAACTAGGATCTGTCCATGTCAACTAATGCTTTCCGTGCAAAATCATAGATTTTAGTGTCATTTTTTTTAATAAACATGTGTTAACCTATTTTCATAGAATGAGATCATAATTGGATGCTAAAAATTTAAATCTATTTCTTTCTAAATTCCAGGTAATTTGGTTATTTGTAATATTTTTGACGCTTTAATTGATTTTTTTTTTTTACTTTCATCTTTAAAAAAGATTCAAGTCTTTTCCGTTGGAAATTTCTAAAGATAATTTGACATGGTAAGTATTCTATTTTTGGGAAAATACGTATATAAGCAAATATATATTAGTTATGTACTTAACATAGCTATCGTTTGCCTTAATTATAATTCGCAATCTACTTTTAGTTATATTTACGACGCTCAACTTTTTAATTTTATATAGTTCACACGGTTGTATAATTTAAAATTTGTATGATATAATTTGTATAATTGTTTACACTTCTTTTGTTTGTAATATAATGAATTTATACAAAATAACTTAATGCAAATTTACGAATTATACAAACGAAACAGTTTAAATTGTAGCTACAACCCATAAATATGTAAACTATAACAATGAAACATAATTGAGTTTAAATAATGGCTATTTGTGAAAGTTTCTCATTATTTTTTTATAAGCGCCTTTTTATATCATTAAACCAAATGTGCATATTAAAAAGTAGTGCCCAATGATATCACATATAGTCAATGGGTTGCTTTAATACAAAATATGCATAACTATATATATATATATGAGAGAGAATAAAAGTTCTATCTGTATAAATAAGTATTAATTTTAAACTTATAACTTTTAAAATTCAATGATAAAAACCTAAAGATCAAATAGGCCTACATTTGAGTTTAATTTCAAGTTCATTGGCAGAGAATAGTTGTTTTTAGCCTTGAGATCGAACTTTTGAATTGCAAGAATAGCAAGCAAACAAACTTCTATAACCGTTTAGTTCCCTATCTTTACACAAATAACAGGTCTGGTGGTTCTAGTTTAGTCTAATTATGCATATATATTATAGGATCCATCAAACTATTTTTCATATGCAACTTAAATTTTTAATTTGTTTCTGGTGTGCATTACATGTTCAATAATTTATTCTCCATTATCGAGGCAACCTCAGCAACAGATTGGCCCAACCTCAACTAACATATTTTGTCTCCTTCCAACTGATGACATTTATTTACTACTGGACAATATTGCAAAAGATTCAGTGGTTGAATTTGGAAATGGATTGATGGAGACATTAATGTCGTGAATTATGGTATGCTTGTAAAATCAAGAAGACAATACATAATCAAGATGATAATCTTACTTTCATTATCTTACTTTCATTTGGTACGTTTTTATTTTTGAAAAAGTATATTCTTTGCTTCTAAAAAGCCAAAAACTTTTCATATTCAATCACACATGATAGGATGCCAACGAGGAGTTATCGACAAGTATGTCAAATTGCTATATTGTACAGTCACATACCCTATAATTTCAACCAACAGAAAAAAAAAATCAATCACTACCATGAAGATACAGATAATAACAGCCAGATGAAGCATTTAAAGAAAAAAGAAGGAAATATTTATCTAGAAAATTAACCAGATATCAGGAAGAAGTAGAACACATAAAGAGAGGCAAAACGCTCGACCAGGACTTTACCAAGCTTAATGCGCCTTTTACAGCAGTGAGATAAGTTAGATGTACAAAACTTCCTTTTGTAAAAATACTTAATAGATCAATATATACATATCTGGTATAAGATCCCACCATGTAGAAAATTTTAGCTCTCTACATGCTGTTTCCTAGTAATCACAGAGTTGAGCTTCTCGACCTCATTCAACAATGAGGAATTTCCTTCACATGCTTCTTTCAAAATCTGTAATCTATTCACCACATTACAACTTTGAAGGGGCATACATCCCTTATGGAATGGTTCAGGTCTGGTATCTGGCCTTTGGTACTCGAGTAAGTTAATAAAAAGGACCTGTAATTAGATAAAAGCAAGTACAAATGTGAATTCAAATTAGAATTACAGAACAAGCCACAAAACTTCCAGATAATATTTTGCTGGGGACTTAAAAGTGCAAACTTTAAAAAGATCCAACATTTTTAAGTGCATGCTTGCAGGACCAGTTTTGTTAATTTGTGGCAAACTTAGACGACTAAAACTAGATACTTAAAAGACTTTTTTGGACCAACCCTTCAAACATAAGGGACCATTTTTGTCATTTTCTCTCTGAGATACTGTCAACTGTTTTCTCAACCTACCAGATTAAATAACTGAGTCATGGAGAGAACAAACATGGCAATAAAATTGCCCAATCTCATAATCAGTTGCCCTACTTCATTGTTAATGTGAATAACAACAAATTTCTGAAGGCGCAAATTAAATTGGCAAAGGGGAGCATTGTTAAATGCAAAAAAAGACATGAAAGTGTCGACTTCTTTCTCGGCTTACAGACAAGCTCAATCAAGCAATGGTCAGAAGAACTGAGATTAAGTTTATATACGGAGAAAATCCATGTAATCGAGTTCAGAACCCATTTTAAATTTTGAACCAAATACGAGAGCATTAACGTTTTCAAATCAAGATGAATTAGTATATGCTTAATTTAGATTTCTGGTTTCTAATTCCTAATTATAATGTACGCTTCCATAATGTCTTCTTAATGATTAGTGATATATCCGGCTATATGAATCTGTTAGCAGCGTCCTCTTCAAGATAGAGACCATAAGCCGTAGAGATTAATCTAACTAGTAAATATTTTTTTTTAAAAACTATTGGTTGGCAGGAATTTGCTAAGGCACACGCCTTAGAGCCTTTGACATATTCACTAGTGTGTCATCTAAGCAGCGCAAACTGCAAAACTCACATCCTGCTATATGCATTGGCTCAGACCTTAGATCGCATCTTAAGAAGGGGCCTTTTACAACCAAAAAAAAGGATTCACTAAGCAGTTAAGTAACAAATTTGCTTACCTCATGTTGCTTCTTACGGGAGTAGTCTCGTAACAGAGATTTGACAAGCTTGTTTCGCAAAGGAATCATATTCCCAGAGCAACTCTGGAAAATAAATGATGATAGATGGTGCAAGGCCAAAGTGAACGAAGCAGATCCTCGACGTGCTGCTTTGTCTAGAGCTCCTGAAACCCATGATTTACAGTAAGCTTCCAACATCCTCTCATCATCCTGCATCAAAATATTAATCACCACAAGTAAGCAAAGTATAATTATGTCTTTGTTTACAGAAAAATTAAAAGAGCTTTCCTCAAATCGACTTGGCTAAAAATCGGACAACACAAGCAATCATTCTCTCGATTCACTCTTTCCCAAACAATGTTTTGCAATGCCACAGTTATCATCATATTGCCAATATCCTTTCCTTTTACCTTGTAACTTTTTGTTGTCATACTACCTTGCTCTTAGGCGGCAGTGTCTTGTACAAGGCAGGATACGAACAAGATTAATTATCATTATTTATATATGACATCCTGAACAACTAATACAACAACAAGAAGAAGACGCCCAGGGTCTATTAAGGTTAAGATGTACACAAACCTTACCCCTACCCTTGTCGGATAGAGAGGTTGTTTTGGATAGACCCTCAGCTCAAAAGAAACCAATAAATCTTGTGTTACCATCCACAACAACGACATACCCAATGTACCTCCAGAACATACACGTTATTTTAAAACTGTAACATGGACAGATGCAGCCCCTCCCGTCAAACAGCAATTTTCATTTCCCTTTCCTTTTTCCCGTGTCTTTCTTTCCCATTTTCTTTTTGATTAATAATATGAAGAGCAAGAGGGAGGCAAAGCACAGAGAAGTCTCGGCTATTCTTTTTCCTCCCAAATTCCAATCAAAACATGAAGTGGACAAAAAACATGAAATATATGTCATTTTTAGCAAGTCAATTTAGCTGCACCGCCCTGTAAGCACACTCGTAGACAATGACAGATCTAGACCACTGTCAAACTTAAATATTCTCAAGTGAGTCTTCAAAACCATCAGTAATATCCTCAGAACATTCATCTAAGAGAACACATCAAACTTAATTTAGAACGGTGAGAGGATATTTTTCAACTGGTATTGGATATCCCATTGTTTTTGGATCAAAACGAAATTATATTTTTATCCTTAAACAGAAAATAAATTTTCCAGTATAAAGTTATGGGCGACTTTCCAGAATCCTGGTTTACCCAAAGGAATTCATTTAGCTTTCACTACATTAAAGGTCAACTTAATAATTATGTGATTGTCAAGTGTTAAGTGTATTCACTGATAGTGTTGAAGTAAGCAATACCTCAACAGGTTCAAAATATCCATTAGTTGCAGCAATGCACTTCTCCAAAGGAGGCAAAAGCTCGAGAGCACAAGCGTTAGACAGTGCATTCCATGCAGCAAGCCTTACAGGAGCTTCAACAAATTGATGCAGATAGACTCCTACTTGACGACCAAATATCATGTCACCATAAGAAACAGCAGCAAATTGCTCTACTAGATTGTCAATGAATGTGGAGTAGTTCTCATGTATGTCCGTCTTAAATTTCAGGCTCTTTGCATTAACTTTTTCTTCCCTGTCAAGAAGCTGTCCATAGATATCTTGCAAAGCTTTGTAAAGATCCCTGCTATTGTCCTCCTCAAAAATGCTCATTCCAGAAAGTAAAGTCGCGGACAACGCGTGCAATTTCCATACTATAGGCACATTTCGGACTGGTGTTTGCAACTCAGCAGGAAGGGATGTGGACATCAGTTCAATACCCAAGAGAAAGAAGAGTCCACCTTTTGCAACTTTGAGAAAATCCAGAGACTCATGACTGGTAGAACAAAGAACTGAGAGTGGACTGAGAAACCAATGCAAGGGAAGAGGCAATCTTTGGTGAGCCCACTCAGCCACCAAACATTTAGGTTCTTGGCTGGCAGGGTTTGATTCAGAATTTTCCTCAGGAATGG